TCCCCTGTCTCACCCCACCGTCTTGCCCAAATCTCTTGTCTGAATGTTCAGGTGTGAGTCTAGCCCTTCTGGAAGAGCTTAAGGGAATCCAGTGCCAGGCTCAATTTTGTCTAGGCCACAGGTGGCTCAATTTTGAGTTGTTGAACAAGCTGGAGCAGGCAGCTCTCACAGTCCTCCTTCCTTTGGAGGCTTCGAGGGACCTGGTGCCTGTGCACATATCACTCTAATTTGGTCCCTGTCACCCACCTAATAGGGCATAACAAGCAGGCAGGAGGGTAGGCCCAGGTTAGGCCTACCAGCTTGAGACAGGAGTAAGAGCAAGGCTAGAAAATAAGAAAGGGAACAAACGCTCTAGAAGCAGGGTGCTCGTGTGTGTGTGTGTGTGTGTGTGTGTGTGTGTGTGTGTGTGTGTGTGTGTGTTGGGGGGAAGGGGGATTTGGGATGTGTAGGACTATATGAATATCAGAGAAGTAAGCCTCTGAGAGGCTGTTGCCCACCAGTGACACCTCAGAGCTGAGCAAGGTCCCTAAGCGCCGCAGCCCAGGGGAGGATTTTGAGAGCTCCTAGTGAGAACTGATTTCTCTAATAACCTAGCAGTTTAGATTTCCACTCCTGCCCTTGACTGCTATGCTGTCAGGGCACCTGCAGCCCGGGACAGCAGAGTGGCCCCGGGTTCCCACCGCCACTCTCTCATCCGTGTCTTTCCCTGCAGTGCCTCCCCTGCGGCCCCGGCGGCAAAGGGCGCTGCTTCGGTCCCAACATCTGCTGCGCCGACGAGCTGGGCTGCTTCGTGGGCACCGCCGAGGCTCTGCGCTGCCAGGAGGAAAACTACCTGCCCTCGCCCTGCCAGTCCGGCCAGAAGCCCTGCGGGAGCGGGGGCCGCTGTGCCACCGCGGGCGTCTGCTGCAGCGACGGTGCGCACGAGGCCGGCGGGGTGGGGGCGCGGGGTGGGGGTAGAATGGGAGGGTGAGTCTGGTGCGTTAGGTGGGGGGGGTTAGGGATGGGAGTGCGAGGTGGGGGCACGGAGCCTCGGCGAGGGGGTTGGGGGGAGGGATGTCAGGGTGGAGTGCAGCGTTGGGACAGCGTCCCCGGAGCTTCGCACATTTCAGGGCGCCTGTGCTCATAGAACATTTCCTCCAGAGAACTGCATGACTGAGCCTGAGTGCCGCGAGGGTTTTCTCCGCCTCACGCGCGCTCGCGAGCCGAGCAACGCCACACAGCTGGACGGGCCCGCCCGGGCGCTGCTGCTCCGGCTGGTGCAGATGGCTGGGACGCGGGAGTCTGTGGATTCTGCCAAGCCCCGGGTCTACTGAGCCATCGCCCCCACGCCTCGCCCCTGTAGCATGGAAAATAAACTTTTAAAATTGCACCCTGCTGTCAGTCTCTATCGCTGCGGTTGGGAAGGGAGGACAGGAGAGAAGGGAGGGGAAAGCTTGGAGCGCGAACTTTCTACTCAGCACTGGCTAATCTGAGCACTCAGAGATGTCCACAATCCATGTCCTCACGCCCATAGGGGTCAGAACCTACAAGTTTTATAAGGGACGCGTTCTGGAGCTCCCGGATACCCACATAATACTCAGGACAAAGGAAGCCCCGAGCTCAGAGGAAGGGAAGAGCCCGAGGCTCAGCGAGGCCCTGAAGAGGGTGGTTTAGTGATTCTCTGGCTAAGACTGAAATAAAATCAGGGGAGAGAGCATTGGTGGACAAGACAGAGAGAGCGAGAGTGACAGAGAAGGAAGGGCACAAGCCAAGAGTGACCATCTCCGTCCCAATTCCATCCCAGACTAAGCTACAAACAGCTTGAGGGACCTATCCTGGTTTTAACGTCATTTTTGCCCAAGACTGTACTTGGGTGGGAGAAGGCACAGAGACTTACCCAGACCTAAATGAGACAGTGCAACCTGCTATCTCTCCAGCGCTCACCAACAGGGCCCAAACACTGGGAGGTGGACACCCCCTCCCCACCGTGAGTGTCCAGCTGAAAGTCCCCTATAGGCACACATTCAAGCCACCACACCCACCCCCAGGCAGGGAAATACACAAGCCAGGCTGTGGCTGTGGTTTGTGGCTGTGGCTTGGGCTGTGGTTTGTGGCTGTGGCTGTGGTTTGTGGCTGTGGCTGTGGCTCAGGAACAGGAGGCTTCCCTAGCCTGGATTTGATGCCTACCACAGAGGAAGGAGGGGAACGGAAGGGGAGAGGAGGAAATGACAACAACTAGCCAGGGGCATTTCCATGACATTTGACCTCAACCATAGCTACAGACCCAGAGAGACACATATGTGTAGCAACAAGGCACACATACATAGGTACTTTTTTCCCCTTTGGCACATCCGATTTTGGAGCTAAGATGGCAGCAGCATTTGGCCTCTGTCTCCTTCCTCCCTTCTCATTAGCTTTTCTTTTCTTTTTTCTTTTTTTCTTAAAATTGTAGATTTGTTTATGTGTATGGGTGTTTTTCCGAAGTGTATGTCTGTGCACTGCGTGTACTCACCTCAGCTCCTGAGCTATCTGGTGCCTACAGAGGTCAGAAAGGACACTGGATTCCCTGGACTGGAGGTACGGATGTCTGTGAATTACCATGTGGTGCTGAGAACTGAAACCCAGTACTCTCAACTGCCCTGAGCCAGTGCGTCAGGCGCTCAGCAGCCTGACCTGTCCCCAGGCCTGCCGGGGCTTCTGCCTTTTGGGCTGTTCTCTCAGGCCTTCTGACCTTTGCTGGAGTCTTCTGTTCCTTACCCACCTGGTAACGCCCTGCCCTTCTCTCCACCACCTCTGTCCTGGGCATCCTGCTCATATGCCATCTTGCTCTAGGATCAGGGGCCACCTCCTTTGGGACCTCTACAAGCTCTGAGGTCAGGGGCGACTGTGGAGGACAGAGTTCATTCTGAATGACCTGATCAATTCAAGTGTAGCCAAGCCACCCACTACTCTTACCTACTTCTATCATTCTGGGTCTGGGCCTTTCCTTGGCCATACCCCAGTGGAGGTCAGACCCTGAGACGGCCCCATAGCAAGGAGGCTGGGCTAGGAGTCTGCCTGGCCCCACCCCACCTGGGTAAACCCAGCATGCAGACACACTTGACTGCTGAGATGGGAGGCAGTATGGAGTAGGGCACCGTGACTCTGTCCAGGGCTGACTTGATTTGATTCCTAGGGCTGGTCTACAGGCAGCTTCAGGATCAGGTTGAGACCCCTCATCCAATCCCCTGTCTAGGTGGAGAACTGTAACACCTCTTTCCCCAACCTGCTTCTAGAAGAATCACTCTCCTGTTCCTCAAGGAGAAGAATTATTTCTACCCGCTGGACCTTCTGTTCTCTCTGTCTGTCCTTCAGGGAGTCACTTACCCAACTACAGAACCACTCAAGGGCACTTCTAGAGGTCACAGTAAATGCTTGTCTCCTCTGCAGCCTCCAGAAGCCAAGGGGCTTTATACAAACAGAACAAGAGTTCTGCCTTTCACGTGCAGCCTGTGGCTTGTGTGCACCATCCTCCCCCAACCAATAAAGAAATGAGGAAATGTAATGCATCAGATTTTAGGCTGGACAGATGGCTCAGGAGTTAAGAACATAAGCTGCTCTTTGAGAGGTCTTGAGTTCAATTCCCAGCAACTACATGGTGGCTCACAACCATCAATGATGAGGTCTGGTGCCCTCTTCTGACATGTAGGTAAACACGCTGGCAGAACACAAAAAAAAAAAAAAAAAAAAAAAATCTTCAAAACCCAGCCCAGAAAAAACGAAAACAACAACATAAGAAACAACAAATCAGTCTTGAAGTCTCTTTCATGTATCTCTTTGGCCTCCACTCTGTCTGTGAGTCCGATGTGTGGTGACAGGGGTCGTGTGTGTTCAGTTGCTGGGTGTGTGGCCCACAGAAAGTGCTCGTTTGTGTGTTTATTTACTTGCTGTGATGGCATGGAGTCCAGGGGTTACACTTGTTGGGCCAGATGTCCACCACTGGCTCCACCCAAGCCATCACATTTTATTCCAACAGACAATGCATCAGGTGAGCCTGAGTGGGAGTGGAGAAGGGAATGCACTTTCTGCCCTGGCTGCTGAGGACACAGGCAGCTAAGTGAGGCATGGTTGCTGAGCGGTGGGAGGGTGGGAGGGTGGGAGGGTTGGGGGGGTTGGGGGGGTTTACTCCAGCAATAGATGAGCACTATAGGTTGTGGGTTTCCCTGTTTGCCTGTGAGCCAGCTCTAAGTTTTGTGGTCATTTGTGCCCACAGGCTCTTAGATGCCATGCTGTCCCAGAGAATGCTGTCCTGCAGAGGCAGAAGCAGGGTCCCTGAGCTCAGGTGCCTCACCTGAAGTCAGCAGAGGAGAGGTCTGCTGGTTCTCGATTTTTCCAGCTGTGGCCTCCTTGAAGCCTGTGTGAGAATCCAGCTCTGGGGAAACCTGATGTCTCTGCAACTACCATCCCCTGGCCAAGACCCTTCCTTCTAGGCCAGGCTTGCCCCTCAAGTCTGAGGTTGTGGTAAAATCTCAGATCAGGACGAGACTGGATGAGCTCCTCTGCCTGTCCACCCGTGCAGCTCAGACTTTCAAATGCTGCTCTTAAGTCTGTCTGCTGCAGGCCACCCCCCCTCCCCCGTAGGGAGTGGAACGTGGAGCTAACCTGTAGGGTGGGTGGTGACCGTCCTCTGTCCTCTGTCCCTGCAGCAGCCTAGCCTGTTGGGCTGTTCTTGCTCTGAATTGCCAGGGCCCATGGATCGCGATGCCTTCCCGCCCCTCCCCCGCCCCGGTTTCTGACACTTAAACACCAGTCAAGTTTGAAGAGGAAATCTGCTTTATTTGTCATTCTTTCTGGCGATGGCCATGGGAAGTGAAGGATGCAGTCTAAAGGTATCGCCAGTGGGCTCAGCTCTCAGAGAAGGCAGACTCAGGAGGGTGGCAGGCAGGGTTCATGTAGCAATCATCTGCAAGAAAAATGGGTCAGTGGCCAGAGCGGCAAACCCGAAGGCTCCCTGCGAGTCGGTCCTACCAGCCTCCTCCTGCTCACTCAAATTGCAGCAGATCCCAGGGTGACGCAGTGGCCCAATTCCCTGCATCCGACTGGCAGGGCGTGGGCAGGTTGCTCTCCTTCAGGCAGGGTAGAGTCTCTGTGGTGCGGATGTAGCAGCCCAGCTCCTCATGGCAGCAGATGTAAGGCCCGAAACAGGTCCCTTCGCCTTTGGGGCCGCAGGAGAGGCACTGCGGGAAAGGACGCCAGTGGGCGCAGTGCAAGCACAGTTCCCTGTCCGCTAAAGGGACAGTGGCAGGTCGAGGGAGAGCTGGAGCTGGGGCTTGGTCTCTGCCTTCAGGGAAGGCTTCAAGAGGGGGCCTATCCCTTCCTAACGCCATGGGTTCCCTGGCGAGGTTGGGGTAGGGCTGGCAAGAGTACAGGATGCTCTCTCCCTGAGGGTGGGTGTCTTCTGTGCTCCTCAGGGCTGCTGGAACCGGACCAGATGGGGGAGACTCACCTTGCGAATGTCCATGTCCAGTGCAGCCCTCTTGCCGCCCAGGGGACAGTTCTGGATGTAGCAGGCAGAGGCCAGAGCCACTAGGCAAAGCAGGCAGCAAGCGAGACTGGGGCTGGCCATGGCGTTGGTGCTCTGAGTCCACCACACAGCAGAGGTGATGGTTTTTCCAGCCAGCCCGACCTTTTTATGTCTGGGCTCTGCCTTGGCGGAGGATTGTCTTAAGAGGGAGACTGCATGACTGGTCTCAGCAGGTCACGGCGAGCCAAATCATCCCACACTGTTAGAGGCAGCCCCTTCATTTGCAGGGTCTAGGCTAGGTCAAGGTCACCGCCTCAGCTAATGGCCTGGAGCTCCAAATGTAAGCGCCTGGTAGGGGTGGCCTCAGTTACAACAAGATGGAGAGGACTGGGGGGGGGGGCATTGGGGCTGGAGGCACAGCCTAGCCTGGAGCTATTTTCACAGATGTCCTGTACCTCAGGGTAGAGAGAGAGGATGTGGGAGTCTTTACTGTCCCTGAAACTTGGATGGGGAAAAAGACCACACCTTCCTTCAACCTTTACATGCAGTTCAGTCCTTCTTCCGGCTACACAGTGAGACAAAATATCAATAGAGGTCAAAACTAAAACACAACAAAGAAACCAAATAAAAGAAAGAAAGAAAGATCACAAGGAAAGGAAAGAAAACTTGTTTGTATTGAAAACTCTGCATTAGAACTCTCCATGTAGACCAGCCTGGCCTTGGATTCACAGTGATCCACCTGCCTCTGGCTCCCAAGTTCTGAGATGAAAGTTATTCACCATCATGCCGGGTGCCTAGACTCCTGTTGGAGGAAACATTTGCCATCATCTGCTGGAGTGTGGCCAACATGTGGCCTCAGGTGCAGAGAGCCACCTGGCCTGAGGCCATCCCTTCCCAGTGGGACACATACATGGTTGGTTCACTTTGGTACCAACACTGGGCACTTCTGGCTGTTTCAGCTCTGAGCTGTAGGTCTGCTGAAGTCTGCAAGGGAAGGATGTTGCAAGCAGCTCAGTAGTGGACAGCTTGCCTAGTGTATGAGAGACCTTGGGTCTAGACTCCAGCACAATAGCAGAAATGCATTTTGGGAAGTTTTGCATTACACTTTTAATTTTCATTTTTATTAGTGTGTCTGTTTGTGTGTGCAGGGTTTTTTGGGGGCCAGAAGAGGGCGTTGGATCACCAGGAGCTGTACTTAGAGGGGGCTGTGGGTCCATTTCTATGGGGCCTGGGAGCACAATTCAGTCCCCTGCAAGAGCAGTGTTCACTTTAAACAGTGAGCATCTCTCAAGCCCCTGTTTTTTTGTGTTTAAGAGGAAAATCATCATGGCAGGGAGGCATGGAAGACTCAACTCCTCTTCTTCATAGCTGACAAATAAAATGCAGGTCCCCAGGAGGGACAAAAGTGTCACTGCTCCCTTGTAGGGCATGCCTCAGTACCTGATGGTCATCTGCTGGGTCCCAGTCCTAACCATCTTCCCTTCCTGAGGCTGGGGATTTGCTCAGTGTTGAGAGCGGCTCTTGCAGAGGCCCCAGGTTTCAGTCCCAGCACCCACGTGGTAGCTCACGACCATCTGTTAACTCTGATTCTGGTGGAGCCCATGCCTCATCAGAACTGCAGGCTCACACATAGAGCACACATACATGCAGGCAGGACATGCATTCACATAAGACAAAGCAAAGCAATAGAAAAAAAACTTTTAAAGGTAGGTAGGAGAAGCATTGCCCAGACTCTTTTTTTTTTTTTTTTTTTTTGCTTTTTCTTTTGAAATTTATTTATTTATTATGTATACAGTGTTCTGTCTGTATATATCCCTGCAGGCCAGATAGGACACCAGATCTCATTATTGATGGTTGTGAGACAGTCACCATGTGGGTGCTGGGAACTGAACTCAGGTCGTCTTGTACAGCAGCCTGTGCTCTTAACTGATGAGCCATCTCTCCACTAGCATCTGTCTCCCAAGTATTGGGATTAAAGGCATACACCACCAAATTAGGTACATAGATTGCTGTTTAAGAAAACGTTTGCCATCAGCTGCTGGAGTATGGACAACAATCCTCTCAGGTGCAGAAAGCCACCTGGCTGTGGCCCTTCTCACGTTGGTCCATTTTGCTGCAAATGCTGGGCACCTGTAACTACATTTCAGCTTTGGTCTGTAGGTCAGCTGCATTCTGCAGGGGGTTCTGCTTATCCATCCCTTCTCTTCCTTAGCTTTCCTTACAACTTGCAGGATTTACCTTGGTGGATGAGCTATCAATTCTCCTAATCAAGAGATTTCTCCTATTCAAATCGGATCTTGATCAACTTTGATGGTATCCACATATTTTCTTCCCCTGTAGAAACAAAGGTGAAACCCTTTCCCCACGTAGCACAGATCCTGGTTTCCATTCCGAGGCCAGCACATCCTTGAAGTACACTGGCTGATTTAGCTCAGAGGTTTTTTTTCTAGTGTCCAGTGTCTTTCTGCTGCTGTTTTTTTCCTTTCTCATTAGCATTAAGAAAGTTCGAGGTTAGTAAAGCATTATGCAATCTGTGTTTGGGTGTCTTGGTCCCCCCTGCCTGTTCATAGAGCATTTCCTTTAAAGTGCGATTAGATCTCTCAACAGCTGCTTGTTCTGTAGGATTGTGTGGTAAACCTGGAATATGCTTTATGCTATAATATTTTAAAAAAAACTGTTTTAATTTGCAGGAGTCATATGCTGAAACATTGTCAATTTTCATTTGGGCAGGTATGCCTATAATAGCCATTACCTCTCATAGGTGTGTAATAACACAATCACCCTTTTCAGAGCTCAGAGCGGTTGCTCGTTGAAATCCTGAAAATGTGTCTATTGTATGGTGCACATATTTTAATTTTCCAAATTCTGCAAAGTGAAACACATCCATTTGCCAAATTTCATTTCTATGTATACCTTTAGGATTATTACTTGCTGATAAAGGAGTTTGGTTATAGAAGGAAGAAATAGGACTTTTTTTTTTTTTTTAACTATTTCCTTAGCTTGTTGCCAAATGATGGAAAAATACTTTTTTAAATCTTTGACATTTACATGGTGTCTTTTATGAAATTCTGAGGCCTCTAGCTCACTTCCTGTTAATAATCGATCAATTTCATCGTTACTTTGTGCTTGAGGACCTGGCAGACCCATATGGGATCTGATGTGATCATAAATATATATGAAATATGTATGTGACATATATACATATATACCTACTCCTGATTATTTCTTGTAATTATATAAATAACAAAGCTAATTCTGTATCATTAGGGATGAATCCAGCAGTTTCCATGTGTAAGATGACTGTCTCTGCATATTGAGAGTCAGTACCTACATTGAGAGGTTCTGTAAAATCCATGAGTACCATGAGAATGGTATACAATTCTGACTTTTGTACTGAGTTATAAGGGCTTTGAGCCACTTTTCTTATATTTCCTGATTTGTATCCTGCCTTACCTGATTTGATTGCATCTGTGTAGGACGTAGGGACTCCTGAGATTGGTGTTTTCCTTATAATGCCTGGAAGGATCCAAATTATTTTCTTTATGAATTTTATTCTCTCACTTTTGGGATAATTGTTGCTAATCATTCCCAAAAAGTTACTGCAAGCTCTTTGACAATATTCATTATTTTTCCATAAGGAGGAATTTCCTCGTGAGTTAAGGATACTGTCATTTCTGCTGGGTCCATTTCTTTCAGTTGATAAAGTCTTAATTTTCTTTTTAAAATTAAACCAGAAATATTTTCTATATATGTCTTAATTTTTTATTCTGTTGATGTGGTAGAAATATCCATTCTAATATGATATCTTCCCTCTGCATCAAAATCCCCGAAGGGTATTCCCTAGATGGTAATATAACCAGAATGCAGTCAAGCTTTTGGTCCACACGGTCCACGTGTGCCCCTCGTATTCTCTTTTTTACCCATTCTAATTCTTTTCAGCATCAGCTGCATCTTTTCAGCATCAGCTGCATCTCGGGGATCCTTAAATTCAACGAAAGCAAATCCAGGAGCAACCCACACACTTCGAAGTGGTCCATAATAGCCAAAATCAGCTCTAATTCAGTCTTGTTCCCATTGTTTCCAAGATTACCTACATACACCTTATAATCTAGTGGACAGGAATCACGATGCATTTCGAGATCCTGGGTTCAAATACCGAGGCTCAAACCCCAACACTCCTCTGACAGGCCCACCCGCGCACTTCAAGATCTGCTTCAGCAGATGCTCTCCGTTCCCTGGCGTCCACGAAATGGCCAGTCTGTGTGATTTCTATAAGTTCCTCATTCTTATCTCTAATTTTGATAAGTATCTCATTCTTAGCATTATTACCAAACCATTTCTTTAAGGAAATCTCATGGATTATCAAGCTAATAGCAATTCTGGCTACTAGTATATATGTTTCAGTTAGTCATAAACTTGTATAAAAATCCCATCTATACAAGAAATAAGAAATTTTTAAAATTTCTGTATATTAGTATTATCCACCATTGCCGTGAATAATTAATTTTATGTATTCATTTACTTATTTGCTTAAACTGCAAAATATGCAGTTTACCATAACTAAAATCCAGGAAGATTGAGGTCTGGGTGCTTCCTGGTTGGCTGGTTGAACTTGAGTTGCAGTAACTACGTTTTGCCAGCAGATGACAGAGGTGTACCACTAAAGAGACTCCAGTGGCAAAGAAACTCCAGTCTGACTTGTCTCTAATGTATTACAATCTGCAGTTTCTAAGCAACACTCACCAAACCCAATCCGATTAAAATTTTGTTAGAGAGAAGAGAAGGGACACAACCTGCGGAAACAACAGGAGCTTCTGTGCCAGTGGAACTGGGCACTGTTTTAGCGTCTAGAAGCCCCCTCAGCTAGGTCGCGGTGGTGGAAAAAAACGCTGATGCAAACCATCCAGCTTCTGCTGCCCTGGAAGTATTGGACCCGCCTGCACTCACCGGGAGAGAGACCCCACCTACACCCATTGGAAGAAGACGTGGGAAGACAACAGTATAAGAATACAGCCAACAACAGAAACCACCAGAGTCTAGGGATTCTACACCAGCAAGACCTGAACATCCCAACACAGATGAAGCAGAAAAGCATGACCTTAAACACAACTTAATAAAGACGATAGAGGCCCTCAAAGAGAAATTGAGAAGATCCCTTAAAGAAATAGAAGAAAAATAAACCAAAAAAAAAAAAAATGCAAGAATGGGGG